TTTGTTTTTTTTCGTTTTTTTTTTTTTTTTTTTTTTTTTTTTTTTTTTTTTTTTTTTGAAAAATTTGTAGGTCCAGGTCGCGCAGCCCCCGTAGGAAATCCCTTGGTCGTTACCCGAGGTAAGATTTTCCTGCTCCTCTTAGTTTCCCATCTCCTTTTTACACATAAATCTATCTCGCTTCTTCTTCTTTGTTCCATTTTGCGGTCTACCGCAATTTTCAGGTGCTAAGACAAATGAAAATCTCAAAGCGTGACGCGAGACGATCACCGGCAACATACTTGGCAGACATACATTAGTTATTCTTAATCTTTTGTAGATCCTGGTCGAGAAGTCCGCAGAGAGCATCGATAAGCCGTTACTCCAGGTAATAAATTCTCTCTTTTTTATTCATTCGACAAACTTTTTTGCATTTTGCTTCGCAAAAGTTTTCAGAAACTGATTTTCAGAATCCTGGCAAAACGGGGTAATGATCAGTAGGTATACACTATTGCTTGCAGTGTAGTATACATATTGCACGCATTATTTGTCACGAGATAGTAGTCATACTCACTAGAGGCATTTAAGACGGAGAACGGTGATGGAATCGAATTAATCGACAAAATTAACGAAAGAAAATAGAAATTTGCATTTAACTTAATAAAATTTTCACTTAGAAATCGATTTCGCTATTTACTTTGTCACCGTTCTCTGTGTAAGCGGTCGAAATTTATAATTGGAAAACTAAGGACGTCTTAGAGAATAGTCGATCACGTTTCGGAGAATCATGGATGCTCAAGCGACAGTAAAAAAAAAAAAGAAAAAATAGTACTTGATCGGCAATCGAATTGAAAGTGAGAGAACAAAACTAAACAAACTGTGCGATGGTAGACGAAAATGAGAAGGAATTAAATAAAAATAATGTGATAACAAATAGAAATAGGCTCAGTGAATTTCAGAAATGCGTGGTAGCAACGGAAACGACAAAACTTCACTTCGGCATTTCGCATGTGAACTTCCGTATCGTGCCATTGTCGATTTTACTTTTTACTTCAAAATGGGAGATCTTCTCGGTGTCTAAAATCGCAAATCATAAAGGAAGTAAAATTGAATATATAACTTTATAAAGTTTGCACATTTTTAATAACTTTTATATAGATAGAAGATTACTAGAATTGTAAAGATAGATTTATTTTTAGTATTAATGGCAATAGCGAATAATAATTCCTTATTGGCAAAAAGTATAATATAAATTCCAGATTAATGATTGAATTAATTTGACTAAATTCTTTAATCTTACGTTAACGTAAGATTAGAGATCAAGAAATTTATTACTCTTATTCTGTTGAGAATGGTTAATATCTTAATTTCTCAGGTATAAATATATTTTTGTTGCTTGTTGAGACTTGAAGGAAGTTGAGACGAACACTGCTTTCATCACTTCTCATCGCACACGCACCGTGGCATGGATGAAGCACGCAGATGATTCAAACGTACGGAAGTAAATCTGTGATCTGAACCTACAGTGTTTATCAATTCATTTTGATGAATATATATATATATGCTTGATGCGTCGCGACGAGAACGTGGTGCGTACGGAAGCGGTATATACATCCATCACATATCTAGATATTCGAGTCGATCAGCACGGAGCACAGAGAGGTCCTCCCTTCTTTTTTTTCTTTTTTTTTCTCGTACGTACTCGAGTGGGCAGTCTAGGATAAACGAGAATGCGAGAATCGATCGATGAAAACGGCGAGAAGCGAGCGCGCGTGCAATTATAAATTTAGTTCTCGATTCGGAAATTCTCTTTTTTTTCTCCCGAAATGACGAAAGTTCGCGAAAGAAAAAAAAAAGAAATTGAAACGTAAAAAATACGCGATAGTGGCAAGGAGTATGATAACGTTGATGATTATATTGCTAAAACTGACGTTTGCAGATTCTACCAGCGTCAGCTCCTAGCTCTGCTCGTCTCCCCGCCACTACTACTACCACTACTTCTACTACTACTACTACTACTGCTACTACTACTTCTACAGCCGCCGTGAAAAAAGCGTATTATTACGCGAACAAAAAAAAAAGCAAATCGTCAGTCTCGCAATCGTCAATCGAACAAAAAATATGCCTGCCTGCCCACTAACTTCCCAACCAAGTCACCATCAGTCACCACCAAGTCACCGAGTATATAGGAAGCCGTCCGTACGTCTGTCACGTCACGTCACGTCGCCCGTCGATGTTGTGCGTTGTGGTGTTGCGACGTGCACACAGCACACAACGGCGCAACAACCGAAAACAACAGTTTCCGTGTGCCGTCACCGCTGCCGGAGTATCGCCAATGCCCGAGACTGCCACCTTCAGAAAAAAAAGAAAAAAGAAAACATTGCTTTTTTTCCGTTGCTGTCCCCCTTCCCCCGCCCGCCATCGTGCACCGCAAAAAACCGTCTTGAACCGAAAAAAAAAAAAACATTGTCCATCGCTCCACTGCGGGACTCTCCCCTTCGATCACCACTACTACTATTACTACTACTACTCTTCCACCAACCACCACCACCACCACCATCACCAACCACCAACCGACCAATCAACCGGGTGTTGTGATCCACCTTCTTCGACTCTTCGTATCAGCTTTAGGGGGACGGCAGCACACATCGAATCAATCGCCAAAAACAAAATTTGCCACCGTAAGAAAAAAATGTCATCCACAACTGGCCACCACTACCAGTTTGTGACCACCACCAATCGCGATGCAAATTATTAAAAAAAAATAATAAAAGAAATCGTCATACAGTAACTCTGTCCATCGGCGCGTCTCTCCATTTGACTACGATCGACTGTCTTCCCGACTGTTCGTCGTTTCGAGACCGACGTTTCTATTCTGCCACTACTACTAGTATTACTGCTACTGCTACTTCTACCACTACTGCTACTGCCACTACTCGTCGACATCACTTAGGAACGTGTGTTATCCGCAACAACAACTGAACGCGTGAGAGTTGCCGCCGATCTTCTCGACCTTCGACTCCTCGAACGAAATGATCACGCAAAATAAGCGAAATGATCACCTACTACACACCATCCCACCACCACCCACCAACCAACCACCTGTACATGTTCACATTGGTATTTCACCGATTTTCAAAGATTTTTTATCTCTATCTCTATTTTTCATTTTATATATATATATCTCTCTCTTTTTTACTTTGTTACAATTCTTATTTCAAATTTGTGATCGTTTCGGTGAGGAGTTCTGTCTGATTCTATGAACGATTAATGCGGGACTGTATAAATAAGAATCTCGAAGACAATTAATTGAGAGAATAAAATTGTTTTTAATCGAATTTTTATAAACGAACAGTGGATGTTTAATTGAATCAGAGAACTCCCAGCCAATACACATAATATAAATAAAATCGATATACATCGAGATATAACATTTATTGATAAAATTTAATGATTTTACTACTAAAATTAATCCTCTACTTTTTTTGTTTTCGCATTTGATTGGTGAGACATCATTTTGTATTAATTCATTATTAATCGTGTCTAACTATATAATTTTTATATATCATCTTTAGGTAAAATAGGAACTAAATAATTCTCCTAATTCTCTTACAGTTGCCTTGCGATGATTTTTCGTATCTGTGTTCCATCGCACCGCTTCACTCTATTTTGAACAGAATTTGACGTCATAATTTTACAAGTATTTTCTTATAATGATAAATAGGTGATTATTGAAAAGTAAAGACCAAATTGACAAATATTTAAAAATTAGTAAATGATTACTGTAAGAACATTAAATTAACAATCTACATTTATTTTTTAGTAATTTTAAATTTAAGAATAAAAAATTAAGATATAAATTTAACACATCTATTAATAAATGAATGATCCTCTAAAAGAGTAATAGTTATGATCAAAAATTATTTTAAAGTATAATAACTAAATTAACAAATATTATTTTAGAAATTAATTGTATTAAATAATCGTTTGTTTATTATTGTAATAATATTTAATATTATTTTTGACAAATAACATTAATTGATAATTTAAGATAAACGGTGTCAATAATTACAATATTATTTATTTGCAAAATTTGTAATGGAGTGGAACGTAATGCGTTCTAATAATTTCGTCTGCTATGTCAAAATGAAAATGATGTCAAACTACGTTTAATTTTTTAGATCGAGATCACGCAGCCCCCGCAGAAGATCATTGACCCGGAGCCGCAGCCGAGATCGCCGCTCACGTTCGGATTCCCGTGACAGACGGTATTAATATATTGCTAATTAAAAGAAAAAAAAAGAGAAAAATTTTTATTAAAAATTTAAAAAATATATCAAGACAACGAAGAGACTTCACGCTTGGTATGCTCCACATTTAGTATGATTAGACAGATTTAAAAAAAATCCTCTCCATTATAACACGACAAAAATTCCGTATTCGCGTGCCATAAGAATTCACCACGAAAGAGAGATCCTCTTTTGTGATAGCGACAAAAAAAGAGAAAAATGTGCTTACACCACGATACACTCTTTTATCTAAGCTTTGTATTCTTTATCTAATTCCAGTTAGATGCTAAAAGTTCAAGAGAGAAAGAGAAGTAGATAGAAAGAAAAAGAGAGAAAAAGCGGATCGACTTTAAGTGCTGGAGGGAAGACAGAAAGAAAAAAAATATAAAATGAGAAATTTTTGTATGTACATAATAAAAATGGATTGTTAATCACACATACATATTACACGCTCGCGTTTGAAATTATGTACAATTATAAAAATGCGACGAAAGTAGACCAACAAATATTTGATCAATTTCGTAAATCACATATTTAGTTTGTAAGCTACGATCTTCAAGTTTCACGACTATATGTACGCGTGTACACATAATATATTGCACAGTATATTGCACATTGTACGACTAGGTGAATAATTGTATGACTACCATGATTAATTAACTTTGTCAAGATATACTACTTAAAAATAATAAAATATTACAAAAAAATCCAATTAAAAAGCATTTGATGGATACATTGTGGAAGAAAATTTAATCTTTTTTTCTTTGCTACACGAATGTGAATAGTCATTTTTTGTCTGCTGAACATAAGTCTGTTAGTAAAAGTTTTATCACCAAAGATTTCTTCGTGTTGCTTGAAATTGCTTGAAATTGCTTGAAATTTCTAACAGAGTTGGTAAAGACTGTTTTTTTTTGTTTTTTTTTAAAGAATAAAACATATTTCTTTTTAAATATGTTTTTAATATTTTAAATATGCTTTAAACAATAAGAAAAATATTTAAAACATGTTAAAAACATATTAAAAACATTAATTAAATATGTTTTAAATTGTTTAAAACACGTTTAAAACATGTTTTTTACCAACTCTAAACTCCAACAATTTTTACACTTGATAAATATATTCGGACATAGAAAAGAGAGAAAACACAGATGCTGAATGCAAAAAGTGCAAGCAACGCAAAACCTCAACTTGATAGCCAATTTTTGCTAATGAATTCAGCATGTAAAAATACGTCGGAAATGATTATTTATTCTCGTGTTGCAAAATTGTGTGTTATTATCATTAACTAATAGTTATCAATGGTTATTGATTAGATATTTTCCACCACATATTTCCAACATAAAATAAATTGATATTGATTAGATAATACTTATATTTGAAGAAAGGACGGGAACAGAACAAAAATTGTTTTGTTTACTTTATACTTGACTTTTTTTTTTGTACTTGAATTCTTTGACAAGACAAAGAAGTTTGTGAATGATAATAAATAAATGTATGAAATTTTCAGTCAAATTGACTTTTTTCTGTATAATGCGAACATAACAAGAAATTTGCATGACTGTCTTCTTTCTTCACGTCAGTAATGCATAATAATAAAAAAAGCAAGTGAATATTACAAAAATTGAATACATAAATATAAATATACATTTGTGTATGTAAATGTATGCATACAAAAAAATTATTGTGATGCAAGTTCGATTTTTTTTTAAGGAAACATTTTAAAAGAAAATTGTTTTCTATTTTTAATCTTCGATAAGGTTTCGATATCTTTGTAAACATTCTGATGAAAGAATTAAGACAGTAATTTAAGATTAATCGAATTTGTTATATTTAACCGCGAAAGAATTGCGCCTTTTTATTTTGCAGTAGAAAGATTCTAAAGTTATAAATAAAGTATAAATTTATAAAGTATAAAGTTATAAAGTATAATATAAATTTTTTTATAGGTTTATTATGATGAAACTAGATATAAGCTGTATTGCCTAAAGCAAGAGAGCATAATCTGACCCCCTGCTGACAGATGTGATAATCTCTTATGGGCAATGCTAGAGTCTCGTCCAGCAACTTCAAAATCTCAAGATATGCTTTCAGTGCGTGCTCATTTCGGCCTTCTTCGAGATTCGTCGACGCGACTTTGAAAAGTGCGTCCGTATCCTGTAGAGCTTTCAAGCCCTTTAGGATGTTCATACTTTTGCCACACTTCGTACATCCGATCATGAACTCATTCGTGTCGCTTTTGATCATTAATACGTTACCACAGGACGGTCCAGTCTCACATTTAAATCTGGAAGAATAAAGTGGAGTAAATTAATGTGTTTTCAATAAGATAGAATAGATGATTTGAGTGTTTAATACTTTTTATATTACTCTTAAAAATTTTTTTCATATTTGTATATGTTAGCAATTTTTTATTTAATTATTAAATAATGAGAATAAGTAATAATAACAATTGATGCAAGTCAATATTTTTTATTATATAATTTTATTATAAATAATTACAATGTCAATTATATACTCTAAATTAATATTAATATTTTTGAAAATTAATAAATTATACCTGAGTATTGTTGGATCCAATTCATCTAGAAGCGGCCAATGTCCCGAGCACGCCTCGCAATTACAATCGAACCAATATTGCACCCTTAATTTTCTTTTTCGCTCACTCTCGGGCGTAGTTGTGAAGATAGGACCATAGTTTTCAGAAATCTCTTCACCTGCGTTGATTGTGCGAACAGCGCGAACAATCATTGTAGTACCGATGAAATACCTCGATTTACATTTTTTAGTTAAAAAATCTATTAGTTAATAGTATTTTAACAACAGTGAATA